ACCTACTCTTCAAAAACCCCATTAAGAAATCAAAAAGACAACCTACATACCTTGTATTCAAAGTATTCAAAACACATTTATTTGCCAAAGCACTTTCATCCAGAATATATAAAAAGCTCTTACAATTCAATTGTAAGAAAATTAATAAAATGCTTGAATGTAACTTTCAAAAATGAAAAAATACAAATTACAAGTAAGCATAGAGAAAATATATTATTCATTATCAGGCAAATGCAAATAAAAACCATGAGATGCCTCTTCATATTTTTTAAAATAGCTAAAGTTAAAAAGACAGATGGTTCTGAACTATTTAACGTATTAGATTAGATATAGACTTAACTATTTAATAAAGTAGGCTGAGATACAGATTTAGAAGTCAGTGATTATTTATAAATGCTTATTAAAGTCACAATGATAGAAATGTGCATGCAGTGATGTTTGAGAGAGAGAAGAAGGGACGGAGGTCAAACTCTGTGAAGATTAACCTTTAAGGGATGTGTGGCAGAAGAGGAACTCATGAAAATAATGTTTTTTTAAAAAGCTGTATAATTCTAAATGTTGACCAGAAGGTGGAGGAACTGGAAATCTTATACGTTGCTGATCAGTGTATAAAAGGGTACGGCCGTGTTAGAAACTACTTAGCAGTTACTAATAACATACACTTGCCCTACGATTCAGCTTCACCTCTTGGTATTTACCCAGGAGAAATGAAAACATACGTTTACAAAAAGACTTGTACAGGAAATTTCATAGCAGCTTCATTCCTAATGGTCACTAATTGGAAACAACTCAAACGTTCATCCATAGGAGAATGGATAAAGAACCTGTGGTACATTCAAACAATGTAACATACCACTTAAGCAATGATGTGGATGAATCACGAAAGCATTATGTTGAGTAAAAGAAACCAGACACAAAAGAATACATACTGTGATTAGTTCATATAAAGTTCCAGAACCGGGAAAATTAATAAATGTTGATATAAAGAAGAAAAAAATGTAGTAGCTTGGCATGAAGTGGAAAGACTAGATTGACTGGAAAAGAGCAGGAGGGAACTTGGTAGGGGTAGTGGAAATATTCTGTATCTTGATAAGGGTGGTGGTTACAAGGTATATACATTTATATGTATAGAAATATACGTGTATAAAAGATAAAACTCATCAAAATACACACAAACTCTATACATTTAAAAGCATTACTAGACTATGATGATAGATTAGATATAGATGTAATGTTGGAGGTGAGGTCATGCATGGATTCTATATTTCAGTCTTGAACTAATGCTGTTATAATGCATTTAAATAGGAAGCACCTCGTGGAGAAGGTTGGTAGGGAAAGTTTTGAGGCTCTACTGTGGATTACCAAATCTAAGCAAAGCTGATTTTGAAGAAATTATTCTACATAGAATTTTTCTGGTCAAATCTGCTCAAAATTGAACTGCTTTTTCTGCTTCATCTTTCGTTTACTGGTCTGGGAGGGAGAGATTGGGATGCCAGGATTAAAACAGTCAAAACATAGTTCTTTGTATGTATTCTGGTGAAGTTTCTATAAACTGTACACCCTTGTCTTCCTAACTTTGGTAACAAAAATGATAGAGCTTAATGCTCTTTTATAAATATTTTGAAAATTAGAATATTTTATTGATAGTGATTATAGTGTTCAGGTATTTAAACATAGTTGTTGCTCAAGAATATCTTTTTTTTTTTTTTGGTGAGGAAGATTGGCCCTGAGCTAACATCTGCCAATCCTCCTCTTTTTGCTGAGGAAGACTGGCTCTGGGCTAACATCCACGCCCATCCTCCTCCACTTTATATGGGACGCCGCCACAGCATGGCTTGACAAGTGGTGCGTTGGTGCACGCCAGGGATCCAAACCGGAGAACCCCAAGCCGCCACAGCGGAGCGCGCACACTTAACCGCTTGCCCCACCAGGCTGGACCCAAAAATATCGTAACGAGACTTAACATCTGCCTGAAACAGATTGGGTACCGAACAGTCAGAGGTTAGGGAATTTATTTTTTAAGTTGTGTCACTCAATTGGATCTGTTAAAACTATTCAGAGAGATAAGGTTCTGTTAATATTGCCTGGAACAAAGAAATAAATACAGCACGCTTAGTTTAATATTAATGTTTTCACCCAAATATTTATTTTTGAAGTAACTTAATGTTTATTATTGCATTATTTTATTTATGTAGTACTTATCCATTTTATGCTTTTGTATACTAGGTATTGTATTTATATAATCCCCATATTTTTCAAAGTAGTTTTTATTGTATCCCCTAATATTGCCAAACTCTTGGCTTGATTACTGCTTGATGCTTAGAATTCTGCAGTTTTCCCTGAGTTCTGCTTCCCTTCACTGAACCCTCAAACAGAATAACTATGTTGTCCTCATCTTTCCGCTTTAGTCTCTGACCACCCTCTTTCTCCTCCTCCTTGAAAAGAAAAGTTGAACACTTGCTAAGTTCCAGAATGTATACAAACACTCGGCATGGATTACCTCACGTAATTTTTTCAATGACCTCATGAACTCTTGGAATTTTGGGACACAGTGTTCTCAAGTGCTAAATACCTGCATTTTATCAGAACTCTTGGTGTCGGACTCCTTGTTACATCTAATATTAAGAGGTCAGTCAGTTACCCAGAATTCTATTCATTCAACTCATCAATTTAGGGGAAAAGGATACAGTATAAGATGAAAGTAGAAGTAGGTGATTATTGTGTCACTCTTCCATAAGGTAATTCCAGAGTCATAACATTACTAAATGCTGGAAAAAGTAAGATTCTAGGAATTGTGATCAACTTTAAAGCCTAGAATACTAATCAAATTTGTTTGAAACCACCTAATACGTATTCGTTCATTCACTCATTCACTCATTTATTGTTCTTTTCATACACACGCAAACATCAATACACGTCTACATACAAATATGTAAAATGTATTGAATGTCAATTTTCCTATTTTCTCAGAAGTTCAGCTGAAGGTCCACAGTCACAAGCAAAAGGGGGAAATTAACATTTTCTGAGTACTTGATATGAGTCGGGTCTCTTACATGTGTTATTTCATGTAGTCCTTTCAGAAATTCTAAAAGGTAGGTATTGTTATCTTTGTTTTACACCTGATAAAACCGAGACCCGGACAGGTTAAGTGACTTCCTGAAGCTTCAAAACCAATTTGAAAACCAGATTTGATGAAATCCAAAATCTTTGCCTTATTCTGTACAGGATGTTGCCTCCCCAAATCATCATACATCTTCCTGCAGATCTATCCTTTTGGGTGAAGACAGCCATCTCTCCAAGTGGCTGTGTTATATTGGGAACATGCATTTCATGATATCTGCCACCAATAATTTTGATTCTAGTGGGGAATACATCAGAAGGAATCTAGCGGAATGGGCCTGGGGAAAATGATGAGATGATATGTCAAAGTTTGGTACATACTTTAGTTCATCAGTCCCAATCACCACATTCATAACTCCAATGACAGTATATCTTTATTCTCATGGATGAGATCATTTTCCAGAGCCATTGTTTATTAAAGCAATTATCCAATTGACTCAGTGATGTCAGCTTTATTCTTATTGTTGCAACTTTCCAGGTTATGCAATGATAGGATATTTGAAAAGAAATATAATTTTGTAAAGACAGGACTTATTAAATGATTGTATTACTTTTCTATGACTTATATAAAGACTATAAAACTATTTATAAGTAAAAAGAAATTCCAGAGAAGAGTCAAGATATTTTGTATATTTGAAAGAACTGATATTAGCATTGAGGAAGCAAATAGCCTAAAATGATATCCGAGGCACCGCCGCATCTTTTTCTCTGAAAAATAAGATAGAAGAACATTTTAATACCATTAGACTGTTTTGTGTAAGATCTCCTAGATATTTCCTAAATTACTTAATAAAGAAATAGAAAACTTAACTTCTGCTGGCTTTGATGCCATATAGTGTGACGGTCACACTATACTGAAATCCCTTTAGTATTTCTGATTAAATAGCTTGTATTGACTTGTGTTGTACAAAATGTTAATTTATAGAAGAGACTTTTCTGAAGAGATGCTCATACTATTCAATTCTGGTTGTATTTTTATAGACTTTTATTTTTCATCTGAGAAGGCGACATAGTCATTTTCATAGAAGGAGGAATCAGAAGAGACTCAGAGGCAGCAAAGAGGAGATTTCAAAAACCTTTCTTTTAGTTTTCCCTTCAGGTCAAATTGTTTTTTAGTGGGTATTTTTTACTTCTTGGTGCCATCCCAGCCTGCCCGTCTGTCAAACACCCATCCTGGCCTCACAGCCAACCAAGCTCAATAGGACAGTTAATTAATCCAAGTTATATTTTCTATAAAGGCCATGGAATTTTTAAATTCCCATGTCATTGTGCAATTTTTTGTATCATTTTGACACTTTATTTCATTCCACTCTAATACAGATGTACTGGCATTATTACAACTTCTAGCTTGCAAAGTGAAGCAAGGATTTGGGAGAACTGACTGTATATAGTATCTGTAGAATGTCTTTTATATGGACCTAGTATACTTACTATTTGTGTTTTCAGAGTTTAAGCCAATTTTATGGTATAGGCAGACATGATTCTCAAAAATTTACTTTTATTTTTTAAAAATTTCTAAAGTCTCATAATTATTATTTACTTTGCAGGAATATATGAGCACTAACTTGTTGTTTTCGTTTTGGTAAGACCTCTTCATTATTTCCCCTGAAAGTTTCCTTTTTTTTTTTCTCTTTTGATTTACTATAGGTCATGGTACTTAATGCATGCCTCTTGGCAAATACCTACCAAAAACTCTGAATGATTAGGACAACATCTTACGGTTCCTTTAGGCTATCAGTCTTGGCCTAGTAAGAAAAGGACATTCTATTACATCATTAACTCTCTCATTATTTCCATGACTAAGTCCTATATATTAAGCACTAACTTTATCTTTATATTTTCTATTAGACATCATTTTCTTACATAAAATGTATCTTTGATTACTCTACCTTCTTTTCCATGAGCTCTGGGGCAATGGTTGGGTTTATAGCAGAAGTAAAATAATTTGTTGTGCTTGGTTTTTGTGAAGTTGAAGGAATGAAAATTCCTGCACTGGCAGGCTTAAAGTTTGTCATTTCTTTTTGTAAATTTGGTATCACTCCTCCTGCTGGCTATAGAGAATGAGAAAGAAAACAAAGTGGTTACAGGTTTAAGCACAAGGTCAAAATTGGGAAGGATATAAAGCAACAGAATTGAGATGCAAGGCAAGGAATTTATTTAAGAAGTAAATACCTTTAATAATTTTCTAGATTATAATCATTCCTTTGAAAAGACTATGAATATATACCAGCAAATGGATGTCTCTTAATACCTGTCTTTAAATGAGTGTACCTAGGAGAGTATCTTGCATATAGTAGCCCCTCGGTAAACATTTGATGAACTGAATGAATTGAATCTTGACTGGCAAAAGATTATAGGGGGAAGAAGTAATAATCGTTGATGGAATAATAGTAATAAAGTTTTCATTAAAATGAACAATAGTGCAGGAACCTGAGGGTTGTCACTTGCTGGTTTCCAGCAGCTAGCAAATTATAGTAAGGAAGCTTACCATCACAGCAATTTCAGGAGCTGCGCCTATGAAGGGATCAAGAGCTAGTTGCTGCTGTCCTCCTGGTATAACCTGAAAAATTGGAAAGTTTAAAAAAGTCTAAATTATTAATCTATAAAATATACTCTTTTGCACCCAAAGCAGTTAAATACTTCCCAACTTCTTAAATTAGTTTCTTAAAAACAAAAATAATAATTTAGATTTGAGAAAGAGAAAATCAGCTCCTGACACTGGGAAGTTGGCCTGACATAATAGCTCTACTTGTGTTGTCAGGAGCTTGCCTGACGTTCTCTGCTAGGCCCTGGTGTTCTGTTGAACATTGACAATTCTACCTACAGAACACCAACATCAGAGAAGGTTGCCTCTGAACATGATGAAGTGTGACAAAAACATGACCACTCTGTAATCGTGTCTAAAACAAGGTTGCTATGCGAGCCATGGAAATACCAGGCATCTTTGTATCCTGGCTAACTTGAGTAACTCTTGCTTCTTTACCAATCACAACCTTTGCCTCCCGCCATTGTTCTTAACTTCTAGGTAAGTATTGTTAAGCTACTCAATCATGAAACTACCCTCCACTTCTTGAGAACACCCAATCCAGAGTGAATCATCACTCCTTGAACTCTCCCCCAAATCACTTGATACAAGCCCAGACTCTATGAGAAGTCATTTCAATTCCTTCCTATTAAGACACCTTACAGTTCCCCATGGTGTGTGTGCTCCCTGTTGCAATGAGAGGATAAATCCAACTATTCAACTAGGAGTGTGTTCCTGTTGGATTTTGGCTGAAGAGCACTGATAGATTTAATAGGTTATGAAGCAAGTCGTTTCAGAAGTTAGTTTTTTTTTTTTTTTAATGAAAATTATGCATTTACTTACAGGTTCTGCTTGTAGTGGAATATATCCAAATTGAGTATAGAATGGCATCTGTCAGATTTTTGAAAAATGCATTAGATTTGTTCTGAGAATTTTTGTCATAATTTTGTGATAAATGATTACTTAAAATTACATATATTTTAATATTATACTAAATACTTTCTTGAAAGTTCACATGATCTAGGTGGTAAAAATTATTGTTAAATTACCAAGCATCCTCTTAACATCATATGATTTCTAGGTTAAAACTCTCCCTTTCTCTTTGAATTAACATGATATAATGGGAATTACTACTACCAGTCATTTAAAGCATACTTTTCAGTTTTCTCTTTGGTTTGGCAAGTTTTAGAGTGGTGATAAACTATTAAAATAAAAAATAGCTATTTTTATTTATTTTTAAATTAGTAACCATAGGCATATATGACAAGAAGAATGCTGGTAGATTTTTAAAAGTTAGAAAACTTTATTTTCCAAGATGATTCAGCTTTTGGCCTCTAATTTTATTGAAGTCCACTCATTGACTTCATTCTTTTAAAATCCAGCCTTGGAGAATTTCCAAATTAGTGATACGTTAGGAGAAAGCACTATATCCTTTTATGATCACCATTTCAATCTGTTGAGTTTTTGCACTAAATATACTAATATATTCTCTCCTCTGAAAATTTACCTTATCTTCTCTATTCCCAGATGGAACTAGTCAGATTAAAGTCAAACAGTAGCAGTACCTGCTCCTCAAATAGCTGTTGTCCTGTTTGTGGAGGTGACTGCACGACTGTTTGTTGAGGCTGTTCCCAGGGTAGGAGCAAGTAAACTGGATAGTATTGAAGCATCTATTTGTAAAATAAAAATATATATGAGCTTCCTTTAGAGCAGTGTAGGCCTTTTTTTTTTTTAAATCTAATGTCAATATTATTTTAAAGCTTATTTATATCTAGCAATTTTATGAATAAAAGAGTACATAAAGCAGTCCTTGCCAAATTTTAGGAACAACTTGTATTGCACATGATACTGGACTTTGTTTCAAGGTTGCTTCGTCAAACACGTTTGGGAAGTAGTGGGTTCAACTAAATAACAGGCTTTTTTAAAAAGGGCACCTTAGACTATATATAAATTTTAGAGTTTATTTACAAGCTTTAGGTACAAATTACTTTGTGACTGTCTAAGAAAAGAATAGCCTATGAAACATTTTCCCTATATTTTTTGAGAATCATCATTCTGAAGGATGTGTTATTAGAAGTTCTATCATAACAAATGAATGGTCAAGAATGTATTGCCTTTAATAATTGCCATTTTATTAAAAAATTCATATGCATTTCAGAATATTTGGAAAATCCAAAAATAGACAAAGAACAAAATCTCCTGCAACTTCACCACCCACATTATCATGCATTGGCTTCTGCTTACAGCTTTGTATGTCTATAGAAAATGGGGATCATAGAACATACATAGAGTTTTCTATGCTGTTTCGTTTCCCTGCATAATTAAGAGACTATGTTAGACACAAGAGGTAAAAAAACATCAACTATGGTTTGAGAAGAAGTATATTTTGTGCAGTGGTTCTTAATCCTGGCTAAGAATCAAAATCAGCTACTGAGCGTTTTAGCAGATAGTCACATTTGGGATCTACTCATGGGGTTCTGATTCATTAGGTGTGGGTAGGGAGCTCAGGCATTTGTAATTTTCAAAATTACCATCAGAGATTCTAATGCAAAGCCAGGGTGGAGAACCACTGGTTTAGTGGTTAAAGGAAGGGTGAAGAATTATATTCCAGCTTGGCAATTTACTTTCATTAGGATTGGGAATTTAATCTCATTAAGTCTTAGTTTCCTGATCCTTAAAATGAAGTAATTCCTCTTGTCATGTATGTAATCCTCTAAATGCTACGGCGTAGAATGAGATAATGTCTAGAAGTAGCTTTTGTTTTGTAATGGTGGTGGGACAAAATTACATAATTATAGTTACAGTGGAGCCAAGTGGTATAACTTTTTATGAAATGGTCAATACTCTCCTGATGAATAATATAATTTATCTATATCCCTATTTCTTTGAACCCAGGATATTATAAAATTAGTTAGCCTAATCTTGAGAGGGTTTTCTGTATTACTCTAACGATTCTACAAGTACGCATTCATTTTTTAAAGATTCTCTTATTTAATGGAAATTACCAACATTTGATTGTAATATGGAGGTAAATTGAAAATATACAAGAGGCTGGAAGTGTTTTGAGCAGAATTTCATAACTGCCAAATAATGGGGGCGTTTGTTATCTCTACATATCATATTTTACAAGTTTAATGCATCTCCCTCTGAAACAAAATTTAAGGCTGGGCAAAGTCAGCCCATGGTATTTCTCTTGAGTTGTTTCCCAACGCCAGCACTTTAGATGTAGAGAGGATGTGACCCAGGGCTTACTGAGCTCCTTTATTCTCAATACAGTAACACTCTGGAAACTCAGCGGTCCTGGGGACTCTCCTTAGCTGGCCTTTCTTCAGGAGTTATTAGTGGGCCTAACACTAACAAACTGATGGCAGCCCAGCAATGGTGGTGTCCAGACAGTGATATCATTGTATGGGTTTTTATAGTCCTGATACAGGAGTCAGAACTACACATATAAAAGAAAGCATTTACTGGAGAATGCATATAGCCACCTCTCTCTAGGAGTAATGGTATTCTATTCATTTACCTGTGCTTGCTCTTGAGGCACTTTGAAGGAGAACACGTAGGGCATAACCTGCCAAAAAAAGGAATCATAAAAAAGTTATACTTGACTTTTTACTTTAAAATTCCAGAACTGTTTTTCTTAGACTGAGCCATATAAAATCGTAATTTGTATTAGCAGACTTCTATGAGAACAAAAGGTCATCTATTATATATACCATCATTAATGCAAATTGCCTTTTTTTAAGGTAAAATTTTCCTAATTATCTTTTCCAAGAAACGTCTTAACACTTTTGATTTGTGGCTGTGATCCTAAAATAGCTGATTTAAATGGCATTTTTCGTGTTAGAAATCAGAAAAGACAAAGAAGTACTTCCAGTGATGGTAGAAACATACTATGAGAAAGAATTCTTGCTCAGTAACTCCTGTCTCATTTCAAAGCTGATGCATACGCTTTTTCACATTCAGCATGCATTATCTCTCCTCAGAACAACAAGATGGAAGAGGCCCAACTTACTTCATTAGGGCCCTGCTGTGTCTGCGGTGGTATTTGAGGCTGTGAGTGGTCCAGCTGTCTCACCTGGGTACCTTGGGCTGGGAGAAGTACCTGATTTGGGAGCAGTCCAGCAAACCGGTCTACAGTTGATAAAGAGAACTGGGAGAGTCCTGGAATTTGAGCCTGTGCCTGTTGTAAAATCCCAGAGAGAGAAAGAATCCATGAATTAAATGGGCCCTGGAAGGACGTGAAAGAAAGGAAGCATTTCTCTTTTATTTTAAAAAGAATTTAAAATCAGTCCTGAGCAGAGAAGAGACAAAATGTAAATAATTTCTGTATTTCCATTCTTGCATTATAAAAAAGGACAACATCTTGGCATGTTATGAGCTGTGCCAACAGTGGGAACAATGCTAAATGCCCAATGGTCATGAGAAAAATGGGCAGAATGAGGTGGATAAGGAATACAGTTTCTGCAGTGCCAGACTGGTTTCAACTTTTTTTTTTTTTTTTTGACCTACTACATACTCTAGTTGAGTGTGACTTTTTATAAAATAGCTAATTTAACTATCTCATAGTTGTGAGAATTGGTGCCTGGTATATACCAAGTTCTCAATAAGTAAATGTTAATCAGACGATAGTGTTCACTTTAATTTTCAAACAAATGGTCATTATTCTAATAATATATGGAACAAATTCCGTAACTTTAAAAATGGAGATTTTAGAAATGGAATCATAAAACCTTTTGTTCTCATACAAAGTACCGTAAGAAATGAGCAGTAGAAGAATATTCTTAAAATAAATTATTGAAGTAGAGGTACCTGAAGCTGTAGAGGCTGAAGCTGAGCATTATTAAGATTCATAAGTAACTGGAAAAGGAAAGATAATATGAAAACAAGATTACCACACATGTTAAAACTATTAAGAATAATGTTTACTACAAATAGCACAAGTCAGAGTGATCATAGTTTCCTGTTAGAGGTGAGCTGTTTTCTCACTAAGCTTAAAGTACAGTGATTAGAGGTTGGGATTTAACTACCTCTCCCCTGCTGAGTATGAGACTGCACAATCTGAGCTCATTCCAGGGGTTTAGTCAGTCATTTTATGCTCTTAAATCTCTCTATACACCTCTATTAGGTGCTATTAGAACAACAACAACAACAAAAATGCAGGATGCTCTCTATGCCTTTAAAGAATTTACAATCAAACAAGAGAGGCAAAATAGTATTCTAGAAATAACCTGGTATATAAAACAAACATGAACATTGGAAATGCATTTGGATGTAAGAGCTAGTGATAGGAAACTCTCCGCTGAGTTTACATTAAAAAACAAAACAAAACGAGGGAGATAGTTTTAAGTATTTAAACTAACCTCATTGCTGTTGCTTGCAGACAGAAGACGCTGTGGGATAAGCTAAAACAAACAAAAACAGAAAAGGTAAAAGAAGGATTTGTTAAAGGTTTAACACAGTGATTTCAGTTGTACCATGAAATCTCTTACCGGGGCTGACATTGTGGCTCCCAGTAGCGCAAGAAGAATGATAGTTCTCATTTTCAGATGAAATATCTAGAAAATAAGTTGTGAAGTTGAGCTTTAAAAAGACTCTCTGTGTAAAAATCACAATAAGAATAATTGGTGTTGTTCAATCAGAAGAGTCGTTGAGTGAATTCTATAGTATTCTATTTTAGGATTTAAAATAAAAAAGATATATTTATAAATATCTATGACAGAACTTATTCTTTTTTCTCAGAGCAGCTGTTTATAAAAACCAAAATTGTTTGCTTGTCCTTTGAGCTTGACCAAATGGCTCACTTGGTAGTGTATGATGTAGTTGAAAGAGTTAATGAACAAGATGCCTTGTCTCTTGCGCTGCTCTACACTGAAGGGAGGGGGTCCTTCAGACCATGGGAGACCCGGGACTGGGGTCCATGAACTAGTCCTTATTATGAAAACAATTTAATGTCTATTTAATGTAGCAGTAAAAATACTACAATAAAGATCTGATAACAGCAGATATTTTCCATTTATCTAACCAGATAATTTCCATGTAAAAGCCTAATAACTTTAATATACATTAAAGCTAAGCAACTAAGTCAATATTTTTCTAAATCAGGGAAAGAGATTATAAAATTAAACTGTAATATTGCTTTATAATGCCACCCATGGAAGTATATTATCTCTTGTCCTCCAGGTGTGAAAACTGTTTTAGTTCAAATCACTGATCTACACAAGAATTTAGGGTTATCTTGATTTATCCTGCAGAGTTGACTGATTAGGTTCTTAAAATTATGAAAGCAAAGATTTGGTATCTTACCTCACTCCTTTGACTATGAAGAGAAATCTAGACCTATGCAAGGTCTGTGTTCTTTTTATCTTTCACCTCTGCCTCTTGGAGCTTCTCTTAAATTTTAAAACCCATCTTTAGAAAAGAAAGACCAATCAGTTTTCAAAGGGACCAGTGATTTAGTGGGTTTCAGACAATGGCTTAGCTAATAACCACTTTCCTAATCATCTTGGTGGTATATGGATTCCCACACTTTTAGTAACGTCATTAAATTATCCTCGGGGAAATGTTTCCCTGTGATCATTCCTGGCTTCTGCTTTGGTTATGACTGAGTCTTCTGGAATAATCCTGCTTCTTCTTTTATCATCCTTAAAATGGATACCCTAATGGAGTAACTTTAAAAGACTTTATTCAAAGATTAATGGATGATTGTTTCTATTTCAACAGTAAAATACAGAATTATTAGACATAAGGCATAGGTCTAAAAGACAAAAATTTAAAACCTAGTTAGGGGCAGCAAAGATTCTTTGATCCTTCAATGCTGAACTGAGTCAATATGAGCTAATTTAATTTAGGTTCAACTTTGAAAACATCAGTCTATCTCCTTCTACCTATGGAATTAAATCTTAAAAAAATTGCTAAATTTCTATGTGTCTATGACATATATCTCCCCATGTGATCATGTTGCTTGCAATAAATAATTTAATAAATATGATGCATGATGGCTTACATTTTTAAAAATAGTGGTAAGTGGATGTTTTGTGTTTTAAAAATTCTCCATTGCTAAATATTATTTTAGCATTCAAAATACAATTAAGTATTATTATCTGCACATCATTGTTATGTAAATTTTCTTCATAAAGTAAGTTTTGTGTTTGTCTTGTTTTTCTCTGTTGTTAATATTGACCCTGTTCTAATAGATAGTCCAAGATCACAAGTGTTGTGATAATGTATTATCAGTTAATTTCCATTGTGGAAGAGTTCTTTGGCTAATTTAATCTTAAACAACTAATGGTAGCCTCATCATGCAGGATTGCCTTTCAATGCATTTATCTTTCTGACACTTCTTAGAACTTGCATGGCTCACTAATACTAAAACAGTTATACCATTTGTTATCTAGCTGAAAAAAACACAGGGACAAAAATGATAGTTAAGATAACAAGCAGAGAAGTTACTATAAGGATTTTGTATCTGTTAGAAAGGAACTTTCCCAAGATTTATGAAAGTTGTCTTCAGGTTAGCTAAGTAGTTAGACCACCACAGATGTTGATAACAGATTTAACTAGAGCTGGATGGTTAATGTAACCACCTGGAAAATTCAGTAGATTGAGTGGGTGAACTAAATTGCCTGATAATATATATTTACAATTAATGACCTTGGTCTATTCTGAATATTGTCAAATTAAATTTAGTACAACATAAGCTCTCAGTCCCCTGAGATTTTCTGTTGCATTGTGTGGAGTCTTGGCCAGATAACCCCATGACTGAGCCAGAAGGTTGTCAGGCCCAAGCACTGAAAAGGTTAGGAATTGTATTACAGAGCCAAAATATAGTCAATATAAAAATTATCCTGGTGATGAATAGTTTCACCTAGCTACATCTCTCAAATCTGAAGGTAGGTGGGAGGATTTTTCTGTCATTGTTTTCTTTTGTTTTTATTTTCCATTACTTGAATATTCTAAAGAAAAGCAGTTGAAACTCTCCAGTTATACAACAAGTTGAAAAAAAAGAGCAGACTATGCTTTCCTACCTGACAGCTTCCAACGCCCTATGTCATTGGAGGCAAAGTTATCTCTGGGTAGGAGGGGAAGTAGCAAGGGGCTCTGGTTTAATTCTTATGTCATCATGTGGATATTGCCTGTGTCTATTTCTCCCATTCAGCTATGTTGAACTTACTTATTCATGTTTCTCTCCCATGTCAGTCACCCAGTAGGTATTCCATTGACTTTTGTTAAATAAGTGGGTTCCTTCATTCAGAGGAGAAGAAAGGTGATAAAGATCCAGAGCTATGTCACTCTGTATGGATTAAGGTGCAGGGACCTTCAAAGGAGGAACCTTAGATGAGGACACCCTGAGGCAGATATTGTCACTGTGACTTCATTATTTTGTTTTAGTTCAGTTACCAGAACACCAGACAGCCCCTTACTCAAATAAAAGTACAAAAACACATATCAATGCCAAGCACATACGACTATTGCATTATGTACCCTTGAAATTGTCTGTATCCTTGCTCTGTTCCAATAACATAAAGAATGAAGCAAATACAATGGCTTTTAAGTTAGTCCTTTCAAAATGTTATCGCTGCTATTTTTTCCTTCAACTAACCTAAAAAAGCAATTAAGAGGCATACAGAGAACCACTGTGAAGTAGATCAATTTTCTGTGGATCAAATTTGAATTTCACCACTGCTTATAATAAAAATAATTTTCCTGCATATGAGTTGTAATTTTTCAGGAACTTCTAACTACATATCAGCGTAGGTGGGATACATATATCACTGCCGTGTTTCAATGAGAAAGCTGAGATACAGCAGGTTCAGTGACTTCGTCATTCATTTATTCACACAACAAATACTCATTGTGCAGCTTCAATTGTCCATGTCCTTGCTGGGCATTGAGAACTTAGTGTTAATAAAACAGACATGGTTTCTGCCTTCGTGGAAATTACTGTTTTTTTCCCGTCAAAAAAGTACCAGAATTGTGGCTAATATGCAGGTTTTGATTCTTAATCAAGCAGTCTTTGTAAGGCATCAAGTTGCCAAACCAGAGAGGAGAGAGACATAGCACAATTCCTAAGATAGTTAACAGGTAAAAATACTAAATGACAAAAATGAGTATTTTTATATATTGCCAGAGTTAAATAATAACTCTCAGCTCAATGAAGGTAATAGGTTTTGTGACTCTAATGAATACTTCAGTAGTAACTTGTGCCGTAAATGCAGCGAATAAGCAAGCTCTCAATCAAATCTCTTCTATTATATAAAGTTTTTACTTTTAACTTCTATGAGATTTTACTGAAGTGCCTGCTTGTGTTTAATAGTGCACAATACTAGATATTAATCATGACAGGTCCACTATGACAATACATTCCAGCTTAATGGTTCTAGTTTGATTGTATGAGTCTAACTTTATTATATTTAAGGTTTGTAGATATGTGCATGTGAATTACGACTCTAAAGTATAATTTCTAGAGTAGTTTGTCCAGGAATGGAAGTTTTAAGAAAAATAAAGTAATATATACCTCTTCCTTTCACAAAAGGACCCATGAGCTTCAGAGTAATTGAGAGGCCAGCACACAACTAAGCTTGGGCTACAAACTACCCGCTGCCTGTGATTCCCTGAAGTGTGGCCTGTAGAGCCTTCGGCAGGAGGTGCATCCTGTGTAACATAGCCCATGCTGGTCTGGGCATAATCAACATCTACTTTCTTTGAAAATCACTTCTTTTGTCCCTGATCTGAAGTGGTTTCTTTTTCTACTGAATTTCTACAGTATTTATTTGTAACCTTTGCTCTTTGTGAATTTCAGACTTGCCACTTTCACAACCCCTATATCTGTTTCTTCTTTTGGGGCCTGTAATCAGAGTTTGGCCCAACCTAGTGTCTGTACTATAACCTCACGGGAACAAACAACTCCATTTTAATCAAAATCTTATAGTTCTAGTAACTTGATTTAAGATTAGTGTCTTTGGCTGATTTCTGGCTTTCTCTTCTCAGATATCAAGCCAAACCCGTGCTGTGGTCAGGGGACCCTCTTGTGAATGTCCCAGTCAAGAGGAGTAGTACCCCAGGCCAGTCTGCCTTAGTTCTCTCTCAGAATCCTGTTGATTGTCTTTTTTTGTTGTTTTGTTATTTTCCCATTTTTCCATTAGCAGTTTATCTCTTTAACAGGATTTTAGGCTTCCTGATAGCAATTTTATTCCTCAAAAACATTGGCCATCTTGTTCTGCCTTTCTTCTTCCTCTCCTCCTTTCTCCTTGCCTTCTTCCATCAATTTACTCTCTTTCTTCCTTTGTCTTCTACTCTATTTCTTTTCCTTTCTTCTACTGTCCTGGTTTGCGAAGCCCTCAGGGAGCTGACCTTGCTTCATTCTCTCACTGTACTGCTTCTCACTGCAGTCCTAGTTCACTGAGCTCCAACCCCACTAGGTTTCCTTCTGAATTTTGAAAGAAATTCTTGCCTTGAGGCCTTCCTATTTGTTCTCTATGCCTGGCATGCTTTCTCTCTGATCACAAGGGGCTGATGCCGTCTTGTCATCCAGTTTAGGAATCACCCCACAAAAGAATGTTCCCAGACTACCCAATCTAGAGCAGCCACCTCTATCCTATCACCCTGTTTAAATGCTCTGCAAAGCATGTGTCACTGTCTCATAGCTGATACACTTGTTTACTTATTTGGTTATTTATTTTTTTTAATATTATTCAGAATTATTTGTTTTTATTTCTTACCTTCCATCACTAGACTATAACTTCATTAGAGCAGAATATTTGTTTTGTTCACTTCTTTATCCCCAGTGCCTAGAACACTGCCTGACCCATAACAGGTGTTCAATTATTTGCTGAACAATTGTATGATAATTGTTCTGACTTGGAAATTCCCAAGACACACTTTTACATAATGAGAGTAAATGTTACTTATAGCACTGACAAATATTGAAAGTCATTGAAGTGTTTGATGACAAGACATTATATTGTTTAATATAACTACTCTTCTTTCTAGAAACTCATTCTGTTGAATAGGCATATTAACAATACAACAAAATTGTTAATGCAATGTCTTTTATATTCCAGACAAAAATTATACATCTAAATTGGTTTAAACACTTCTCTATGATGGAATCTGTTTACTCATTTCTGGTGAACTTAATTACACAAAGAATTTGGTAGGAAGGAGTGGTCATTTGTAATTATGTGTTTCTCTATTGGTAATGTCTTCATCCACACCTTAGCAGTTTTAGAAATGTCTACTTTCTTTTCTGCTTGCTACTTGAACAGTGAAAGAGGAACTGATATTTGTTGCTTGGAAAATAAGGCTGAGTGTCAAATCTGATCATAGAGTCAAGAACAGAAATGGGAGGTAAATTGGCAGACAGAAGGGTCAAAAGTAGGAAAAAAATCAGTAGGAAGTTTATGAGAAATAATGGAATGCTATGAATGGGAACTGTAAGATGGACGCCACTCAATATAATAAGCTCAGATTATGGAGACAAATATGGGTGAAAGTACTGCTAGATACTAGTCTGTCATCCTGCTCCACCATGGGAATAATTCTGTCTAAACTACTGGTGTTGGTCAATTGGTCACCCATATTCGCATTACCCTGTTCTCTGGAGTTAGTGATGGGAAAAAAAAGTCATCTTTAGTTTCTAACTCTTCTTTTTCAGAATTCAGTATTAGTCTCTGTCGTGGATGCTGTGATGCCCCAACCTGAACCCCATTCAGAAACGAGAGATTTATCATCCCGGCTGATGGGAGTGCTGCCAGCAGATGGCCTCTTCAGGATTTGCCTCACCTGCCTCCCTCAAGGGCACTCTCCCTTCTCAGGCCAACACACACCATCTAACTAATCCACTCAAGGTCAGGCCTCTAGCCATCCCAGCTCCAGAATTCCACATGGGATGGACTGAAGCCTTTGTTGACTACACAGCAGCTCGACTTCTCCCTTTGCCTGATCCTGCTTTCTTCCCCTCCAACACATGGGTGTGAATTCCAAGGGCCCTTAATAAATTTCCTGCACATTAAATCTTCACCTCAGTCTGCTTCCTGGGTATCTCAACCTGAGACAGTCACCAAGGCTTTAGTCATGAAAATATTACGTCTGAGTGACATGTTATAAAGATTTGATCATAGTTCATTGTGTTAATTATTTCTCATCAGCTAGCCAGCTCTAAATCACTATAAAGAATAGATTATGTCTGAGAAATAACCTCTGACTCGCTAGTCTCATTTACTGTGTGTTAAATTGTGAGTGTTATCTCAGTGCCTTAGGCCATAGTCTAATATTCAAAACTATTAGACTTGTAACTATTACATATTTTAGCGATTGGATGTATATTGAATAAGAACCAATATTATCTGATATAATGGACATAAAATGGTTAAACAGGAAAACCCTAAGGCCCTACATATAGAGTCCATGGTGGGAAAGTATTGCTGGTTATTCTTGTTATAGAGTGATTCATAAAACTTGCCCCCACCACATCATTGCAAAGCATTTCTGACCAAGTTTCACAGAAAGAACAGAGATCATACTGGGATAAGAAGCACCTGGCAGTTTTGCAAAGCATACACCAAAAAGTTTAGCACTGCATGCATTGTGGAGCACCAAGTTAGGACCAGAATAAGCCAGGGCTATGGAAATTTCATTTCCAAAAACTCTTACAAAACCTTACAGTTTATTGCATTCACTTGTTACCAATTTTTAATTTGCCGCCATCTCAAAGAGGGGCTGTGTAAGGATCGAGTTTAAGAACATGGACTCTGGAGTCATTTTGCCTGGCTCTAACTCTAACTGCTAGCTGCAAGCTCTTGAGTTTTCGACAAGTTTTAAACCTCTCTGAGGCTCAGTTTACCTTTCTATAAAATGGGGATAACCTTATTGGGTTGTTAGATCATTGATCCTCCGTTTATGTGAAAAGCATCCAATGTTAGTTACATTAGGCATCTTGAGCATCCCCAGTGCCTGGCACAAGATTGGCACAGAATATTTGCTTGTTGAATGAATGAAAGAATGAAGCATAATACATAGAAATACCTTTTCTTACAAAGACCAGCATAGTAAATTGAATGGCACTTGGTGCAGAAGACAAAAGTGAAAAAGCAAAGAGCCAGTGTGATGGTAGAAAGAGGATCCACAGAGCACTGGGGTAGGAGTAGGCCCCTGAACCAAAACTAGCTAAGAATATATGTTATCAACCAATTAGTCTAGTAATTAAAAATATTCTTGAAAAAATTTCTAAATGTTAATTTCAACATTTTATTAAGGAAAATTCACTTGCTTCTACCAACTCCTCTTTCCCTCAAATTCTATTTTTTCTTTTAGTCAGTGGTGTGCTGGTAAACCGGAACTCTGACCCAAAAACTCAAAAACTCTTCATTTGTAGTATCTCTCAATTTCCATAGTGTAAATACTCCCACTAGGGCCCATTCCAAGTTACCAACTATTAAACAACTGGCTTTTAAAATTCCAAAATATTAAAGGTTGAACCTCAAGAGGCAGTAAAAGTCAGCTCCAACAAATTAATGCCTTCACATAATGGATAATTCTTGAATCACCCAAATAATATAGTGCTGTTTCCCTGATCAGAAGTATTTTACTGATGTGTCTCACATAACTTCCAATTTATGCGGAGGATGTAAGTATTTAGAGATATGTGCAACTAACATTTGTTTAGTGCCATATAGCAGGTCCTTGACTGTGTTTTCTAAATCTGATTTTTCACTTGATCCTCATAAGAATCTGCAAAGTATGATTATTATCATTGTACTTGTAAGAAAACTGAGGCTCAGAAAGGTTAAGTAATTTGCCCAAAGTGGCATAGTTCTTTAGTCATAGAGCTCAGATTTGAACCCAGGTCTTTTTCCAATGTAAATACTTATTTTTACACTATGCCGTATGTGTTTGCATGCGATGAAGATAGTAGATAATTTTTTCCCATGTATTTTTGAGATACATTAAATAAATGCCATGATTTTCCTGATTAAAATTTCTCATAATTTGATGAACATTCCCCAGATGTTTTGAATAATATACTACCTGACATATATTCTGTTATAATTGATATCTTCCAATTTCTGGATTTTCAAAGGCTTTCTTTAGACCATTTGAGAACTTTCTAAGACAGAGATACTAAGCCAGACAATTTATTTCTGCTTCTTTAACAGCCTTAAGAAACTCATTCTGATATGAGGAAATATATCCAGGATTATCGTTCCAGTCCACAGCTTACATGCCCTCAGCTGAGATTACCAACTGTGAAGGTCATCTAATAACAGTACTTACTGTTCTGGTCACATTTCAATGAAGAAAGTTTGATTTTCTCTATTCCTTTTCCAAGAAGGTCTTCCACCTGCAAAAACAATCACTTAAAGCAGCAGAAGCCAAGAACTAATAAATGAGTGCCACAGACAACTTTCCTCATCAGGACTGCTTTCAGAAATGTAGAAACTCTGTGGAAACACAAATATTGTATCTTCTTAAAGTATCTGCTTAATTGGATATTTTAGATTCAGTAGCCAGAAACATTTATAAGTTATCAGTCAGTTTCTGTTTTGCCAAATAGAATTTCATGTAATTTCTGATGCATGGTAATATTACTTACAAAGAGTTCTACTTTCTTTCTGAAATTAAATTTATGACTACATTGGATGCCTCATCAAATTGCTAAATGTGTGTGCTAT